AAAGGGTGCTTCTACTATATACTGAGCAAAGGGTCTGAATACTTAGGACCATGTGATATTTCAGTTTTTCTTTTTTAATAAATCTGCAAAAATGTCAACGATTCTGTGTTTTTCTGTCAATATGGGGTGCTGTGCGTACATTAATGAGGAAAAAAAATTAACTTAAATGATTTTAGCAAATGGCTGCAATATAACAAAGTGAAAAATTTAAGGGGGTCTGAATACTTTCCATACCCACTGTATATATACACACATATACATATATATGGTATTACCGTTATATTAATATACTTAACATTTTGTTACAATAATAAGCATTAGAGCTGTAAAAAGTATAATAAAAGTGGAGTGCAACCTTGGCAAGTATGACTGAGCTCTCGCAGTTTACAGGTTTGTGGGTTTGTAAGTCTTGCACCCAGCCGCAGCAGAATTGTTGATAAGCTTCTAATGACTTAAAGCTTCTGAACTCTTGCATTGTGTAGGCACTGATGCCATAAACCAGGTAATTGACGATGTCAGGGTATGTGAGAGGTGGTAGTGTTTCTGGGGTTTTTGTCCATTCTGTAACTTGCAGGTCGTACGGGTCGATATTATTAATGCCAAGCAGTTTCTCTAAATAACGCTGTTTAGCGGTGTTATTTAGTTTCTCCCGATATAACCCCTTTCCTTTCGCTTTCTCCTTCTCCATTTATTCCCATAAAACTGCGCCGTATCGCAGAAATGTATTTATTAATTTAATCTGCTCTCTCTCTCTCTGTTGCGATTTCTTTCGGTCTCACTGTCGAAGTAACCATGGCAACGGAAAGCGTATCCTGCTAATATGGCGGCGCCTTAAAATATTGTGACGTAAATCCTGATTCTCTATATCGTGCACTATATCGAACATTTTATATCTCGTTATCGAAGAAGGTGTACCATCGATAAATATCAATACCGTTTTATCGCCCAGGCCTATAATTAACTATTGCTCTCGTATTAAGTCATACAGCATTCCTTCCAGTTCGCTCTGACAATCTGGCCCCTCAACCCCCACAAATGCAAACTCCAAACCTCTCTTCACAGTACAAAGCTGTTTTAACGTACTTCTCTGCATGCCCCTGCCAGGGCCTCTTCCTCTACAGGCCTCCTAAAAACTCAGACCCAGAGGCTAAACATTTCAGACATGCATACAGCTCCTCAAGGAAGATCAAAAGCACTCCAAGGGAATTGATCCACAAACTGAACACTAAAAATCCTTCACGTGCTCAAATCATATCACTCATTAAATGTGATTTGATGTGATAAAGATCAGGCTGAACAACTTGTGACACATGGGTACAAACAAGACAAACAAGGATCTTGAGGTTCAAAGCAAACATTAGGCCTGTCAGCAAACTAATCAAACAAAGACAAAGTGGTCTTAGTCTTACCAGCTAAATGGTCAGTTACCAGATAATCCGTCCTGTAAAGCTGCTCGTACGTGTCAGCCTGCCAGCTTTTGCCTAAAAACAAAACAGAGAAAAGGAAAAGGGGAAAAAAAACACAGACCATCACCAATGATGCAAAACCACTTTAGGTTGCCAGAACTTAGTTACACGTGGCATGATTTGTTTGCATTTCCTATGACATCGCATAATTCTCATTTAAATACATGCAAGCGTGACACATTAAATCAAATTGGAAATAGGAACTGAAAGACTGATCAATCCAGTTCAGCTACCTACTTGTAGTGATCCTCATACAAGAGTTTCAAAATATTAAGTTATTAGCATGCTTAAAAAAATGTTGTAAATACATGTATATTAAGACTTGGAAACATGCAAAATTGAACAAACAAAAAAAAAACACAATCGTGTTTAATTGCTGAAACGGCCCAGCGGCTCTCGCGATTTGCTAACGTGGCCATTCCTGCGTATGTCAGATTTAAATATGGCGGATTTACATTTGCTCTTAGAATGACAAAACAAAGCAACTGGAGATATAGTTGAACATTCATTCAAGAAATGTTTTATGCGCGTAACCCGAGTTTCGCATGTAATATTTTCACCCTGTTGTATACATGCGCGCTACGTCAACTCATGACACGCCATGCTAACGGCTACGTAGTGAAGACGGATTGCTCGTTTCACACTTAATTTCACAACTATTCGCATCAACAAACATTTGAATTCCGAGATGGGTGGGTGTGTACATATTTAATCGAATTAATAAGGCGTGTTGTTGGAAAATACCACAGTTCTTTTGGTTTGCGGCGATGAAAAACTTGTCCTGGCTAGACACCAACTCCAGTCAACTTTGAGCTGCGCGTGCGCGATAGTGACACGTACACCAGCTAGCGCGAGCGCTAACACACACTAGATAAGGAAAACTTTACTCTTATTGATCCTTTATACACCTAATGTCCCGACAATGACAACGTCTCACAAGTGTACACTGAAAACACGGCCTTTGCTGACGGACGAATGTGAATGTTTAGTCAAGACCAGCATTAGTGACTGTCCACACAAAGTCCACGTAGGCATTAGAGCAAAGGGTGAACCAGTAGGGAGAAACTGACAGAGTCGAGCTAGAGCACATTTTCACAGCAAAACATTCACAGCCATGTACGTGTATCAGCGGTCAAGAATAAGCAATGCAGACTTTCGGATGTATAATGTATGTAGACTGATTTGCGGAATGAAGAGGGGACTTACTTGTGTTTGTGTTCCCGTCTGCCCTGTGTGGTGCAGAAGCTCGTAGTGAAACTCCACTGGCGAAAGGGAGGAGCAGTAGCCTGTGAGTTATATAGTTCAAGCCTCCACCAATCACCTTCCCTCACGTCACATTGCCCGGCCGTACAGATCATACATGTCTTTCTGAAAAGGAACAGCTATAATGGTGGTGGGGATTCGGATTCACCTCAATGAGAGTATTTTTGAATCTTTTCTCCAGAAATCTTTTCAATCTTTTTACCAGTTTACTCGTTCGTTCTTTTCCGCAGGTTACATCAGCAGTAGGTGGCAATAAGTGAGTGCATTGTTTGAATCAGTCAATTAATTATTCCTTAATAAACAAATTAACAACTCATGCAAAGGGGTCATATGATGCGATTTCAAGTTTTCCTTTCTCTTTGGAGTGTTACAAGCTGATTGTGCACAGATAAGATCCCTGAAGTTGCAAAGACTAAAGTCTCAAAACCAAAGAGATATTCTTTATCAAAGTTAAGACTCTGCCACGCCCCCCCCTAAAACGGCTCGTTCTAACACGCCCCCACATATCTACCTCACTATGTGGAAATATTTGCATAATGCCGCCCAAATGTGCACACAAAGAAAGAAGGCGTGGTTTCAGTAA